GAACTGTCATTAGGAAAAAATCGCATAATTAGCAACGTATTCACAATGAGAAATACAAATGTTTATCATAATCACAACGCATTAAAAAAGTCAAAATGCAAAATCGCTACATGGTGATGATCATTTATTGTCGGCAGCATAAGCAATGAATACTTATCATTGACACAAAAATAACACCTTTCGATACTCATTTTCTCTATTTTATTCAGAAAATATGACTGCAATAGTTATTGTTTATATCGAAATTTCAGGAGAGCGGAAATGGCAGCTGCTTTCCAATCTTTTGAAAGACATACCTGCATCAGATTCGTTCCCAGAAAACCTAGCGACAGGGACTTTGTTTACATCCAAAAAGCCGCTGGATGTTCTTCTTACGTAGGCAAAATTGGTGAGTACTTTTCAACACTTTGGTGTCAACTTTATGAGCAGAAATTTCGACCTGATGACATCATTTCGAGCCGTTGACTAGTATTCAACTAGCATTCTGATTTAAGGTGGCCCACAAGTTCTGAAGCTTGGCGACGGTTGTATGTTAAAGGGAATCATCATGCACGAGTTGCTGCATGCAATCGGCTTCGTTCATGAACAATGTTCGTTTCGTACAAAATTTCATCATTTGCCTTTCGGTTATGACCTCGAAGGAACATTAAATAGTTGGCTGACTTATTATCACTAGATCTCAGCCGACATCTTTACTTTTGGCATAAGTGCTCAGTTTGGATTTACATGATTTTTATGCAGGAAAAAAGAAACGAAGAATTTTTGCCGAGGAAACTTTTCACATTAGCACATAGATGTAATCAGATCAATTTTATCCATCTAATCTATACAAGTATTTGGGATTAACGATAAATCAATTAATTCACTCTACGTTCATGACGATATTGATGACTTTTAAATGTATAGATGACTTTAAACTTCGCTGTGTGCGCTGATGGAGGTTGATTGTTACAAATATATCCTTTAATTGAATCAAATTTAGCACGTCCGGACAGAGATCAGTTTGTTCAAATTTTGTTCGAAAACGTCAGACCGGGACTCGAAAGTATGTTGCTACGAAGTTTNCAGTAGTCATAAGTAAGTTCTTGTATGCAATGAGTACTCGTCGCAAGGGAACAACAATTGCATTGAACGTGCATCACCGACTCCTTCAACCAAATATCTTCATTGATTATTCGGCTTCTTCAGATAATTTCGAAATGTCTCCGGACAGCGATACGGCAGGAACACCTTATGACTTTGGATCAGTCATGCACTACAGTATGAGGGATTTCTCGGTGAACGGCAAACCAACCATAGTATCAAAACCACCGGGCATTCGATTCGGACAAAGAAAAGGATTCAGCAAATGGGACTTATATGAGATCGTTAACCTTTACAAATGCAAGAACAGTGAGTTGTTCATTGGTTTTACTGTATTGAACAAAAAGTTTAGCTATTTTAATTTCAGACATGAACCGAACGTTGATTTGAACTCAATTCTGATTGCAACAGTGAATCAATCGTTTGGTTTCGTCATTTAAAAAATGATGGAACAGAAGTAGTAATTCATTAGAAGTGGAATGAGAGCGTCTCATTGAAATTCTTGCAGAGGTGCCAGACAGATGTGAGAATACCAAAGGTTGTGAGGGCACACGATTCGTCGACCCTGAAATGTGCCCTGAGGATATCAAAGTATGTGACTAAGAAGAGTGGATATGATTCAGACCAGTCACTCTTAAGAAAAAATCAAGCAAAACTATTTCTTTTATTCAGTGATTAGTAGTAAAATGAATCCAGTTGAATTTGAATCACATTAGCAGTAAATCGTTATGAATAAATTTTTCATTGATATGCAGTCGAATCGCATCACATCGGCAATGAACAATCAACTGCGTAAAAGTATCACTTTATTCAGTGACGAGACAGCTCGACTGAGCACACTCACTCTAAGCAGTCGAATGATGCTGTTGCATTTGAGACTTCTTGAACTAAAACATAACGAGACACTACTTTATTTCGCAACAAATCCTTTGCAATCGTTAACAGGAAAAAACGATGTACAGGTAATCCCGACCAGAAGTGCGTCGTAGGCCAAATTTGGCCGCATCTGCAACTTAGTGGCATTCCTGTTCCATATTCTTGGCATGCTATTCTATTCTGTTCCACGCTTTAGTTGATCTGTTTCGTTCTGTTGCTCGTGTCATTTTTAAAAAAGCTCTCTTCTACCCTCCACCTTCATATTTTGGAAAGCGTTCTATTCTGTTCCTGTACCGTGAACTCTAATTTGTTCTGTTATATCCTGTTGTACCATTCGAACTGTTCTATTCTATTCTTCTTCACTCAGTCAGAAAAATAGTGCGATAATCGGGGTTGGAAATGGGTTTTTTGGTGGATTCAGTGCAAAACGAGAGGGAATTGGGATGGGAGAAGATTGTTCACGCATGGAGTGGAGCGCACTTGGCGGTGATGATTGGGAAAGCAGGGTGTTCCAGGTTCTGGTAATCACCACCTTTGGAGGACAGAGCCACCGTACCCTTCAATCGTTGGATGCGAACTCATTATGACTAGCACAGGATTTAAAAATTCTTCAATAGTGGATGTAAAACATTTCGTCTATGTGAACTTGCCTTCCACTACTAATGAACCCAACTAATATCGAACGAATGCAGCTCTTCCAAACAGCTCGGCTCTATACCGTAACGCAGTTTTCCGCAGTGATAAACCTGAAATGAACGGATTTCTTCATTACGACTCAATTC